GAACGTGACCTCGCACAAGATTTTTCTGGGCAATCCAATCGATTTGCCCAAGCTCAATGCGACCAAGAAAATCCGACGACTTTTCAACGTCATGCCCGGCGGCAAGCTGGAGCTCCGAAGCGTGTGTTTGTACAAAGGCTCGGGCGAATCTCTGGGAGCTTTGGGTGGAGGACGAAAGCTGCAAAGTGGATTAGGAATTGGCAAAACAAAATTGACAATGGGACCAGCCGTGTATGTGCATTTGGGCGGGGTTTTCCGAGGATCAGGTGTGGTTTTCCGCTCAATGCGCGGCACGCTAGAGGGCTTCTTGAAGACATTGCAAGAACCTTTGGAGGCACGTCGCACGTTCGGAGGCCACGTCTTTGTGGCAGGAGGGCAATTTTTGTGCTACGGGTGTTTCTTTATCGGTGTCAGTCCCTACGGCAATCCTGATGAGAACCAGATCACTGTCGGTGGCAATGTCCTTGTCGTCACCGGTGCCATGAGATGCATCGGATGTTATAACATTGGTTTCAATTTATTTACATCCGGGATCAACGCCGGCGGTAACACTGCCTGTCTCGGAGGAGCTTCTACTTGGATCGGAGGCGGAAATAGCGGTGCCACGCTCGCTCAGGGACAGTTCGGTATCGGACAAAACAATTTCGTTGGGGGGGGCGTGCTGGTGCTGGTCGGCTACCAAGATATTAGCGTCCTTCTGGCAATCGTTCGCGCAGGCATGGGCCAGCAAACGTGTGGAGGAGGTGTTCTGATTTTGATTGGACATTGTGAGGTGCGTGTTCGATGCTATCTTCAGTTCTGTCGGAGACAGTCTTTCACCTTCTGTATGACTCATCGGCTCTATAACCGTGTAACTCAAACACTTCTCTGCAAACATCAGGACCGTGCTTGGGCTACTGGCATTGTTTTCAACGCAGGACAGACCTACAGTGTTGGAGGTGGCGTGCTTCAACTCAATGGGGGTGAAATTATGAACTTTCAGACCAGCGCGGGACAAATCGTCTCTGGCGGCAGCTGTTTCAATGGTGGCGGGGACGTTGGGTACATCGGCATGGTAGGTTCCAGGAATACGCGGATAAAAGCCAAGATGTCACAGACGTGAGGGATGGAAGGGCCAATCTTGTACTCGACAGCATCCTTCCCCTTCTTACTGGTGGAAATTTTCGTCTGTGCGACATTGCCCTCATTTACGTTACCCGAACCCAGGCCTACGGGACCTTCGGAAACACGTTCAACCAACATGGACTCGGCATGCGATGGTGCCAAAATGCAGGTAAGTCATTTCGTCTCCGACAGCGGCCCTTCGCATTCTTTCGTTCGACTCTAGCCTGCCACCTCGGACGCTTATAGTTTTCCTTGTACGATACACATTCTTCAGGAACGCTTGAGAATATCCTGATCAATGGCTGGTCGACGGCCATTGCTCGAGCTCAATTTATTCTGGGAAGCGAATCCTACTTAGGAAGTAAGTTTTTTTCTTGTCTGAGGTGTCTCGTCCACGTAGATAATTGACGCCTCGAGACCTCTTTCTAGTAGTTCAGTACCCACATAATTCTTTTCACGACCACAACAGCTGGATTCTTCTCGTCGATTAATCAGACTCGGCATTCCTATCAAGTCGTCAACGGTGCCTGGGGAGGCCACGAGTACTGGGTGGGACCAGGTGCTGCGGCTTTCATCAAGGTATTTCACAAATGCCGCGCGTTCGACTTCTCACGTGTTCATGTTTCATGAGCTACGTGTCGTATTTCCGTCAAAACTACAGACATATTCATTCGGTAAGCGCGTCATCAACTACCGTACCAACCCCTACGCTTGGGTTGTGGCAGGCACAATGATTGCTGGATCATATAAGCCGACAAACACGTAAGCGTACCCTTGATGTGAACTATCTTTGCGTATTTCTCTCTATATTTAAAATGGCACGCCTTGCCGATGTATACATATCTTTTGAAAGGCCGAGAAAGACACCAATGCTGTCGTGAATATGATCCTGAAATTTAACCTAATATTTCTCGCCTATCTCTTGTCTTCAATGCTTTTGGTACAGTACGCCCAAGGTTGTGACAAATCGCGGCGACAACATCTTCGTCAATAAAACCGGCGTGTTCTTTGTCTCCAAAGATGGGCTTGTACTTCTTCCCCCCGTCAAACCCCCCACAAAGCAAGCCGAGAAGGATCTCCGAAAGTTCAACATTACGCCTCCGCACCAAGGCGTTGCCCGGGATGATTTGCCGCACGGTATTTTTGGACCTATTGGACCTGGCAACTCGGGTGGGACCGGCGACTTATACAAGGCAGCCAGCGTAGGGGATGTCAGTCCCTCGCCGTCACCTGTGATGGTTCGGCGGCTAGAGGAAGGAGGGGAGAAGCGATCTCTAAACCAGATGCTGGTGGTGGACAGTCATATCGAGACACAGAAAGTGAAGCCGCTTGACTCTAAATTGTTCCACCGGCACCTGACACACCAAGTGCAGAAAAAGAAAAGCCGGCGTCTGGGCGCCTTCTCCCGCACATCGGGTATGAAGCCCCTGCTTGCGGCTTTCGCTTCCCCGCAGGACCTCATGAATGCCTACCAGGGTGCGACCGAGGAACAAGAACAAAAAGAGAAAGAGTACTGGCCCGAGTACATCTATGCCAAGAAGCGTGACACAAAGTGCTTTCTTTGTGGCGTCTCGCCCCTGCCCACTTCGCAGCATATCAATCCGAACGATGACCGTACGTTGAACGAAGATTCTATGTATAACTTCAATAGCCATGGCTATTTATGAGTGCATGTAGGGGTCATGTTTCTTCCTTTTGTCTCTCTTTTGATATAAGATTTTTTGTCCATACATCACAGCAATCGATGCGCAGTGGTGGCTCAACGCCAACGAGACCCAGGTCGTTGACAGGCGCGCCTTGATGGCCACCTCCACTGACCCCGCTGGAGCAGTGAGGCAGACGGCCCTCTCCTCCGCTGGTCAGACTAATGCATGCTTGGCATCTGATGAGTGTGTCAACGCCGATACACCCTTTAATGCACTTGCCAAGGCTGAAAAGGTTGCTCCTGAGGATGGTCTTCCGAGCCTCCCACCGGCAGTCAAGACCATGCGGATCATGGAACGACGGGGCCGCCGCTTGTGGGCCGAGCGCCGTCGTCTACACGGAGAGGAGAATACGGAACTGATAGAGGATGACTGGCTGGGGGGAAGTACGAACCCGGTGAAATTGCCCGACAATCAGTTGTTCTGGAAGAAAGTGACCGTGCACTGTCCACCCCGGGACGGAGACTCCGAGCCCCCCAAGAGGTGTGGCCTGAAGGATAAGGACATTAAAAGGGCCTTGAAGGAGTACATTGACACCGTAGCCGGCGTTGTGCTCGGCGAGGACCCGGACTATAAGCTCTCGGCTGCCTATGGAGAGACTCCGGAGGCGGTGCATGAGGCTGTCGATGTGGACTACTTGGCCTCCATGGTCCCTCGAAAATTGTCGGACGCTTGTCCTTACGCGGCAACAATTAAGCTGTTCGTTTTGACCCGGGACGACGACACGTATGCGGCGCTCTTCAAGCTATTCGAGGACCTGGCCAATGACCCTAAGACTCTCACGGAAATCCTGACGACAGAGGACGCACGTCTGTGCCCTGCGTCGGCTACGATGGAAGGGGAGGGCGTTGTGACGTTGCCAAGCGTGGATACTACTTCAGGGATCAAATTTTATCAGGACTGGCATTTCATGGGCGGTAAGGACAAAGAAGAAGAGGCAGAGCGTCGGCAGCTCCTCGCGCAGTTGGGTATGGGCGATCTAGAGAAGGAGAAGCAATGGGCGAGCGTGTCATTGTTTTCTCCTTATGATCTAGCCCCAGTCATCTTGGTGGAGGAAGGGGAGACGTACTCTATAGTTCTTCAAGGTCTAGACAGGAGCGTAGATGACGTGGTCGTTGAGCTTGTACAGGGTTTGGCTAGGGGTGGTGAGGTAATCGCAACGGCCAAGAAGTCTCCGGGTGGTGGAGAGAAGGAGGACGCGCCGTGGACTTTGGATTGGACCGCAGCGGGCTTAGCAGCGATGGAAGAAGATCGACGATTTGGATCCTCATATTTCTTGTACGCCCACTACAAGACTTATCCAGGCTTTTTCGCATTCTCAACGCCTTTCCGGGTCCTCATTTAGGTCTTGATCAAGTATGTATGAGAAATAAATTATAATCGATCAAGCGCACATTAGAAACTAAAAAGAATGCGAAGTGGTCGAGCTGGCTAGATTCATCTTAT